CTGAAGCTGTTTTAGACAGGTTTTTGATCATCTGGGCTTGTGTATTAGAGACATCGTGTTCAGCTGTCTCAGGAAAGGATGTAAGACTCTGGTTCATCACCCTTCAAGATAGTGCAGATTATTGTTGGCTCTGGACAAAGGTAATAGCCCAGCTTTCTCATTTATCTCCATAATGATCTCACTTTTCACTTTTGAACAGGAATTCTCATTTGCAGTCCATAAAGCCTTTTCTTCTATCCTTTTTATTCAAGAGCTGGTTTTCCGCAGCCCTTTCACAGATTCATCTGCAACACCATCATCTGTTCTAGGCCATGTTAATGCCCTGCAGCTCAGCTCAACTGTAAGGTGATACTGGAGATAGTCCTTGATGCAACTGCATAAAAGGTAGACTCTGAGAGAGAAGGACTACAATTCAACTTGTTCCTCATCTGTCATGTATATCTTCCAGGTGCAGGTTCATTTCTAGAATATCTTGTAGTGTGTACAGAGGCTGGGAAAAATTATTCTTAACAGCATATAACTGATCATCATTACTGCTTATCCCAACCCAAGAATTGACTTGGATGACAAGGTTCTGGAAGAATCAACAGAGTGTCATTTAAACCACTAAATATTTAAAGGAGTTTTTTTAATTGTATCCTTTTAATTGAAATCTAATCCCTGAAAATACAGTAAAATGCAATAAAAATGCCTTCAGTGACTTCCTCCAATATGCCTAAAACATTCAACCAAACATTTTAAACAAACGAATTCTTGTTAATAATCATAGAATAATCAACGCATCAGGTCGTATATAAAAGATAGCAGCCCTTGAAATGTTTTTAAAAATTAGAAAATATGATGGTTCTAATATACATACATACACATGGTAATACATATTATACAAAACATAGATTCTATAATGGACCACCTAAGGTTAACAAAAAGCATACAAAATTATAAAATATGTATGTTTTTCTGTTTTAAGATACCCAAACAAATCAAATGACTTTAGAGAAAAGGGATCAAACGACATTAACTTCTTACCACTTCTTGAAAACTATCTGGCAATCTTGATAGGGCTTGAATGCTCAGTATAAGGGGTCCCTTGTTTTCAGTAGGATGCCAGAGGACACAACTCTTTCTTTTTGGTTTTGGTTGCATTAACTGTCTCTTGATGAAACCTAAAAATCAATAACATCTGATTGATTTAAACACAAACCAAAAGCAAAAGCTTTTCTGGCTTCCTAGTACAATGTCAAGAAAGGTAGAAGTTTACAAGTTTTCAAAGCCCTTTAACACTGCCAAATTATTAAAGTGTCGCTTGGAAAGCATTGCATAGGAAAACGTTAAGAAACTTATCTGTTTAATTGCATATGTGCCATACAGGTGGCTTCACACCTGTGAATCCCAGCACTTTTGGAAGGCTGTAGGCAAGAGGATTACTGTAGGCAGGAGTTTAGAGATGAGCTGGAGCAACATAGAGAGCCCACTTTCTGTCCAAAAACAAAAAATTAATCAGGAGTCATGGCAACATGCTGTAGTTCCAGTACTGGGAGGCTCTGCAAACCGAGCAAGAGTGTGATTGCCGACGCTGACAATACTCAACAATCAAATGACATAGAGAAAATGATCAGTGATTAATAACTTAACTCTAGCCTGGACAAACAAAACCCAAAAAAAAAATTGCATAGCATACACTACATATACACATACATATTAATAAACAAAGATTTAAGGCAGGATCTTTGATGAAAAAAACACTAAATGCTTCCTAATTAATAATTGAGCTGCTTTAGTCATCTAAGACAGAAAAATAAAAAAAAAAAAAAGAATATAAAAATATATTAAAAATATAAAAAAAAGTAAATATAAAAACCCACATGAAATAACCTATGTTGAAGACACAACATTTTGTAAAATCCATCTCCCAGCCAACTACCTCTGTCGTCCTCAAGAAGTGATTAACAATACAGTTGTAGTGAGGAGCAAGCTGGACTGCACTGTGTGGTTTCAGCTTCCTGCAGAAGATTTTGCGCAGTGACAAGGGGCCTAAGTGCCAAGAAATGTGGATCCCAGCACTTACCTCAGGCGTACCTATATTATATCACTGTAGGAAAGACTCTCAAAGGTATTTCACTGGAATCACGACTATTACAAATAAATGCGCACTATTCACGTCTATTCAAACATAGTGCTGGAAGTCCTCGCTTACAGAATCAGACAAGTGAGTGGAATAAGGTCAGTCCAATGGGGAGCAGAAGAGATCAAACTTCTCACTCTTTGCTGATAACATATATTATACCTAGAAAACCCAAGAAATTCAACCATGAGACTCCTTGATCTGATAAATGAATTGGTAAGTCGCAGGATACAATATCGCAATACACATAAATCAGAGCATTCATAACACCAACAACAGTAAAGTGAGACCAAATCAAAGACTCAATTCCTCAAAAAAACAAAGAAAATAAAACCCTAATATACTTAACTAAGGAGGTAAAGACCTCTACAGGAGAACTATTGAAACACTGAAAGGAAGGAAATAGCAAAGACATAAACAGATGGAAGAATGATATACCATCTCATTGGGATGGCAGAGATCACATTGTTAAAATGTTATTACTTACTCAAAGTGACCTACAGAGTCAAGTGCATCCCTACAAAACACGTCATTTTTCACAGATATAGAAAAATAATTTTATTGCTTCATATAACCAAAAACCATTATAGGCAAAATCAACTAAGTAATAAAAACAAAACAATATCAGTACCAGACTTCAAACTATATAAACAAGGCTACAGTCATTAAAACAGCTTTTTAACTGGGCAAAGAACAGGGACATTGACCAGTGGAAACAGGAACAGAAACCCAGATATAAAACCGATCCTCATAATAGCCAACTAATCTTCGACAAAACAGACCAAAACATACACTGGGGAAAAGAATCCCTTATTCAATAAATGGTGCTGGGAAAAACTGGGATAGCCAGCATGTAGAAGGGCTGAAACAAGACCCACACCTTGTCACCTCTCAAAAAAATCAACTCACGCTGGGGTAACAGACTTGAACATTAGTGTGATGAAACTATTTAGAATTCTAGAGGAAAATTGTTGGAAATACTCTTCTAGACATTGGCCTAGGCAAAGGAATTTTATGAAGAAGACCCCAAAAGGCAATCACAACAGCAACAAAAATAAGCAAATGGGACCTGGATCAAATTAAAAAGCTTCTGCACAGCCAAAGAAAACTATCACGAGAGCAAACAGACAACCCACAGAATGGGAGAAAAATTTTGCAAGCTACACATCTGATAAAGGGCCGATAACTAGAATCTATTTAGAGACTCAGAAAATCAGCAAGAAAAAATCAAAGACCCTATCAAAAAATGGGCAAAGGACATGAACAGAAACTACTCAAAAAGGAAGATAGAATAATGGCCAACAAACATTATTGAAAAAATGTTTACATCTCTAATCATCAGGGAAATGCAAATCAAAACCACAATGAGATATCACTTAACTCCAGTGAGAATGGCCTTTATCAAAAAAGTCCCCAAACAAACAATGCTGGCGGTGAATGTAAGACAGAGAGGAACACTCCTACACTGCTGGTGGGACTGCAAACTAGTTCAACCTCTGTGGAAAGCAATATGGAGAAACCTCAGAATGATACTAGTAGATCTACCATTTGATCCAGAAATTCCACTACTGGGCATCTACCCAAAAGATCAAAAGTCACTTTATGAAAAAGACGCCTGCACTCGAATGTTAATAGCAGCACAATTCACAATCTCAAAGCTATGTAAACAACCCAAGTGCCCATCAATTCATGAGTGGATTAATAAAATGTGTGTATATGTTACCATGGAATACTACTCAGCTTTAAGAAACAATGGTGATATAGCACCTCTTGTATATTCCTGGATAGAGCTGGAACCCATTCTACTAAGTGAAGTATCTCAAGAATGGAAAAACCAGCATCACATGTACTCACCAGCAAATTGGTATTAACGGATCAACACCTAAGTGGACATATAGGAGTAACATCTATTGGGTGTCAGGAGGGTGGGAGGGGGGAGGAGGAGTGGGTATATACAACCACAACAAGCAAGATGTGCAACATTTGGGGGATGGACATGCTTGAAGCTCTTACTCAAAGGGGGAGGAGGGCATGGGCAATATATGTAACCTTAACACATGTACCCCCATAATACGTTAAAATAAATAAACAAATAAATAAATGGAAAGAATTATTGATACACAAAACAACCTGCATAAATCTTCAGGGAATTATGCTGAGTGAAAAAATCTAGCCCAAAATGTTATATAATGTCTAATTCGATTTATATAACATTCATGAAAGGAAAAATTATAGAAATGGATAACAGATTAGTGGTTTTCAGAAGTTAAGGAGGGGGTAAGGTGGTATAAAGGGCAGCATGAGGGATCTTTGTGGTGGTGATAGAGATGGTTTGTATCTTGACTGTATTAATGTTCATGTTCTAGTTGTAATATTATACTATAGCTTTGCAAGATGTCACCATTAAAATTGGATTAACAGTACATGGATCTCTCTGCATTATGTCTTACAACTGGATGTAAATTTACAGTGATCTCAAAATAAAAAGTTTAAAAACAAACAAACAAAAAAAACAAATAAATGGGCTGGCCGGGCACGGTGGCTCACGCCTGTAATCCTAGCACTCTGGGAGGCCAAGGCGGGCGGATTGCTCAAGGTCAGGAGTTTGAAACCAGCCTGAGCAAGAGTGAGACCCTGTCTGTACTACAAATAGAAACAAATTAATTGGCCAACTAATATATTTAGAAAAAATTAGCCCTGCATGCTGGTGCATGCCTGTAGTCCCAGTCACTTGGAAGGCTGGGGCAGGAGGATTGCTTGAGCCCAGGAGTTTGAGGTTGCTGTGAGCTAGGCTGATGCTACGGCACTCTAGCCCAGGCAACAAAGCGAGACTCTCTCTCAAAAAAAAAAAAAAAAAAACACAAATAAATGGGCTTACCTCTGTTTGCTCAGAATCTTCTCTAGTTTGGCATCCTCTGCAGTTTGAAGACCCAGTGTAGAAGTGAGAGGACAGACTGTAGCCAGATACTGGACAAGCTGGATGTGCTGGCCAGGCCGATATGCTCTCCCCTTGCCTTGACTATACAGCCATTCAGCTTTCAAACTATAATTGAGGGAAATAAAGAAAAGGAGATAGCACCAGTGTAGTCAAGATACGTTGTCAAGCAACAATGGTCTTTCTTCTTAATTTACCTTTATAGCACTGTTGGATGTTTCTCATAAGTAAAATTCACTCAAGTTTGTAAAAAAAAAAAAAAAATTAGGGTGTGAAACTTTAGAATTCTAGGAGGAAAAATTGTTGGAAATACTCTTCTAGACATTGGCCTAGGCAAAGGAATTTTATGAAGAAGACCCCAAAGGCAATCACAACAGCAACAAAAATTAAGCAAATGGGACCTGATCAAATTAAAAAGCTTCTGCACAGCCAAAAAAACTATCACGAGAGCACAACGACAACCCACAGAATGGGGCAGACAAATTCTGCAAGCTACACATCTGATAAGGCCTCGATAACTAGAATCTATTAGAACCAGGAAAATCAGCAAGAAAAAATCAAAGACCCTATCAAAAAATGAGGCAACAGGAACATGAACAGAAACTAAATCCAAAAAGAAAGATAGAATATATGCCAACAAACATATAAAAAAGTTTAACATCTCTAACTCATGCAGGGAAAATGCAAATCAAAACCACAATGAGATATCATTAACTCCAGTGAGAATGGCCTTTATTCAAAAAGTCCCAAACAAACAAATGCTGGCGTGAATGTAGACAGAGAGGAACACTCCTACACTGCTGGTGGGACTGCAAACTAGTTCAACCTCTGTGGAAAGCAATATGGAGAAACCTCAGAATGATACTAGTAGATCTACCATTTGATCCAGAAATTCCACTACTGGGCATCTACCCAAAAGATCAAAAGTCACTTATGAAAAAGACGCTGCACTCGAATGTTAATAGCAGCACAATTCACAATCTCAAAGCTATGTAAACAACCCAAGTGCCCATCAATTCATGAGTGGATTAATAAAATGTGGTAATGTATACCATGGAATACTACTCAGCTTTAAGAAAACAATGGTGATATAGCACCTCTTGTATTATTCCTGGAGTGATTAACAATACAGTTGTAGTGGAGCAAGCTGGACTGCACTGTGTGGTTCAGCTTCCCTGCAGAAATTGCTACAGTGACAAGGGGCCTAAGTGCCAAGAAATGTGGATCCCAGCACTTACCTCAGGCTACCTATTATATCACTGTAGGAAAGACTCTCAAAGGTATTTTCACTTGTGAATTCATCAGCTATTACAAATAAATGGGCTGCACTATCTCCACTTCTATTCAACATAGTGCTGGAAGTCCTCGCTACAGCAATCAGACAAGAGAGTGGAATTAAGGGCATCCAATGGGAGCAGAAGAGATCAAACTCTCACTCTTTGCTGATAACATGATATTATACCTAGAAAACCCCAAGAATTCAACCATGAGACTCCTTGATCTGATAAATGAATTTGGTAAGGTCTCAGGATACAATATCAATACACAGAAATCAGAGGCATTCATATACGCCAACAACAGTAAAAGTGAGAACCAAATCAAAGACTCAATTCCCTTCAAAATAGCAACAAAGAAAATAAAGTACCTTGGAATATACTTAACTAAGGAGGTAAAAGACCTCTACAGGGAGAACTATGAAACACTGAAGAAAGAAATAGCAGAGGACATAAACAGATGGAAGAATATATACCATGCTCATGGGATGGCAGAATCAACATTGTTAAAATGTCTATACTACTCAAAGTGACCTACAGAGTCAATGCAATCCCTATCAATATACCATCGTCATTTTTCACAGATATAGAAAAAATAATTTTATGCTTCATATGGAACCACAGAAGACCCCATATAGCAAAATCAATCCTAAGTAATAAAAACAAAACAGGAGGTATCAATTTACCAGACTTCAAACTATATTACAAGGCTACAGTCATTAAAACAGCTTTTTACTGGCACAAGAACAGGGACATTGACCAGTGGAACAGAACAGAGAACCCAGATATAAAACCATCCTCATATAGCCAACTAATCTTCGACAAAACAGACCAAAACATACACTGGGGAAAAGAATCCTTATTCAATAAATGGTGCTGGGAAAACTGGATAGCCACATGTAGAAGACTGAAACAAGACCCACACCTTTCACCTCTCAAAAAAATCAACTCACGCTGGGTAACAGACTTTGAAACATTAGGGTGTGCAAACTATTAGAATTCTAGGAGGGAAAAATTGTTGGGGAAATTACTCCTTCTAGAATTGGCCTAGGCAAAGAATTTTATTTGAAGAAGACCAAAAGGCAATCACAACAAGCAACAAAAATTAAGCCAAATGGGACCTGATCAAATTAAAAAAGCTTCTGGGCAAACAGCCAAAAAAACTATCACGAGAGCAAACAGACAACCACAGAATGGGAGAAAATTTTTGCAAGCTACAACAATCTGATTTTAAAAGGGCTATAACTAGAATTATTTAAGAAACTCAGGAAATCAGCAAGAAAAAAATCAAACGACCCTATTCAAAAATGGCAAGGACATGAAACAGAAACTACTCAAAAAGGAAGATATGAATATATGCAACAAACAACATATTGAGAAATGTTAACACTCCATAAGTCATCAGGGAAAATGCAAATCAAACCACAATGAGAATATCACTTAACTCCAGTGAGAATGGCCTTTATCAAAAAAGTCCCCAAACAAACAAATTTGCTGGCGGTGGAATGTAGGAACAGAGAGGAAACACTCCTACTAAACTGCTGGTGGGATGCAAACTAGTTCCAAACCTCTGGAAAAGGCAATATGGGAAGAACCTCAGAATGATAACTAGCTTAGATCTACCATTTGATCCAAGAAATTCCACTACTGGGAATTTTAACCCAAAAGATCAAAAGTCACTTTATGAAAAAAGAGCGCCTGCACTCGAATGTTAATTAAGCAGCCAATTCACAATCTCAAAGCTATGTAAACAACCCAAGTGCCCATCAATTTCATGAGTGGATTAATAAAATTGTGGGTATTATGTATTAACCATTGGAATACTACTCAGCTTTAAGAAAACAATGGCTGGATATAGCACCTCTTGTACTAATTCCTGGATAGAGCTGGCAAAACCCATGTCTAAACTAAGTTGGAAGTATCTCAAGAATGGAAAACCAGCATCACATGTACTCACCAGCAATTGTGTATTAACGGATTCAAACCTAAGGTGGACATATTAGGAGTAACATTTCTATGGGTGTCAGCGAGGGGTGGGAGGGGGAGGAGGAGTGGGTATATACAAACCAAAACAGCAAGATGTGCAACAATTTGGGGATGGGACATGCTTGAAGCTCTTACTCAAAGGGATGTGAGGGCTATGGGCCAATATTTTGTAACCTTAACTACATGGTACCCCCTATACTACGTTAAAATAAATAAACAAATAATAAATGGAGATTATTGTACACAAAAACAACCTGCATAAATCTTCAGGGTATATTATGCTGTGTGATAAAAAATCTAGCCCCAAGTGTTATTATTGATTATTCTAATTCGTATTTATATGCGAACATTCTATAGAAGAAAAATTGATAGAAAGAAACAGGAATAGTGGTTTAGAAGGTTAAGGGGGTAAGGTGGTATTATAGTGTCGTCTATGGGAGGATCTTTTGTGGTGTGTTAGGAATGTTTGTATTTCTGCTGTATTAATGTTCGATGTTCTATTGTATATTATACTATAGCTTTGCAAGATGTTCACCATTTTTAAAATTGGATTACAAGTACAATGCGATCTCTCTGCATTTATGCTCTTACAACTGGATGCTAAATTTTACAGTGATTCAAAATAAAAGTTAAAAACAAACAAACAAAAAAAACAAAATTAAATTGGGCCTTGCCGGGCACTGGGTGGCGTCACGCCCTGTTAATCCTAGCACTGGGAGGCCATTCGAGCCCAGGGCCGGATGGCTCGAAGTCAGGAGTTTGAAAACCAGCCTGCAGCAGAGTTGAGACCCTGGTTCTGTTACTACAAATAGAAAACAAATTTAATTGGGCCAACTAATATCATATTTTAGAAAAAATTAGCCCTGCATGCTGGTGCATGCCTGTAGTCCCAGTCACTTGGAAGGCTGGGGCAGGAGGATTGCTTGAGCCCAGGGAGTTTGAGGTTGCTGGTGAGCTAGGCTGATGCTACTGGCACTCTAAGCCCAGGCCAACAAAGCGAGACTCTCTCTCAAAAAAAAAAAAAAACACAAATAAATGGGCTTACCTCTGTTTGCTCAGAAATCTTCTCTATTGGCATCCTCTGCAGTTTGAAGACCCAGTTAGAAGTGAGAGGACAGACTGGTAGCCAAGATACTGGACAAGCTGGATGTGCTGGCCAGGCCGATATGTGCTCTCCCCTTGCCTTGACTATACAGCCATTCAGCTTTCAAACTATAATTGAGGAAATAAAGAAAAGGAGATAGCACCAGATGTAGTCAAGATACGTTGTCAAAGCAACAATTGGTCTTTCTTCTTATTATTACCTTTATAGCACTGTTGGATGTTTCTCATAAGTAAATTCACTCAAGTTTGTAAAAAAAAAAAAAAAACAAAAACAAAAAACCTATTCTTCTTACTCATTTCCCTCACTCTAATAATGTTTTAACCCTTTTTCTTGCTCAGGGGCACTTCCATAGAGCTACACTAATGGCACCTAATAATTTCAAATTATTTTCAAAGAATAAGTATTCTCTCCACTCACTCTGTCAAACTGAAGTACCTAAATATATCACTTGCATTTAAATCCATCAGTTCATAATGACAATTTAAAATACAATATATATATATATATATTATATATATATAAAACTGGTCACCATTGGAGAATGCTAATGAGCCACCAATTCATTTTTTAAAACTGGTAAATAAAGGGTGAGAATTAAATATTATTAATTCTATCCTTCCTATACACACTATACCAATGGGTAACCAAATAGTTACTTTATAGTCTCCCAACTAATAAGAAAATAAATAACAGAGTTAGAATTTCACCATTCTGCAACTTGTAATGAATTCAAGCATTGACCA